TTCTACATTGAATGTGTATTTTATATATTATTCCGATACAATATTACCCATCTTTGTGCCTGATATTCTCTAAAATCTCATTAAAATAGAATAGATCCTATCTTGTAGCGCGAGCCAATGAAACTGGGTGCAATGAAGAGACTAAGGAGCACGTCCAGCTCCTTTTACCGGAAATTCTCGTACAGGGCAAACCCGAGGAGGAATTTTGACGTATTAGATCGTCCTCACCTGTTCGGGTTTCGCGTGTGTTGGTGCGATCGCTGCACGAAATCCAAACCAGTTTTCTTCTACGTAGAGAGGAGATGGCACTTCTTCGGTCCCTTGCCCGTTTCGTCGATCTTCGAGCTCGCTCATTCGGTCGTACTGCACATCGACGAACACGCTGTTCAAATATATATGATCAATTCAGCGGACATCGTCGATCCACTCTCAGATGACAGACAATTTGCCTCGAAAAATCTTCGAAGAACGACGAAACGATTTTAGTATTATGGTTCTTCTGGTATTTTGGTACATCAACTCCACCGAAGGTTAAACTTTTGCAATTTAGAGTTTGATTTCTCTTGCATATATGATTTCAGGTTTCATCGATTTCAATATTTAGTTCTTTGCAGAGCAATCTAAAAAATTACAAGCTACTGTAACCTTTAGAAAAACAGATCAGGCGGAAAAGATTAGATTTTGATAATTTTGAGATTAGATATTGCGTCGTGTTCAGTTTGATTCGTTATTTTAAAAATCAGAATCTGATAACTTTCTTTTTTGTTCAGGGATTTCATTGGAATAATATGAAATGAAACAAATAAAAGTCAATCAATTCATGAGTGGCCTTATATTAATTTACAGGTGCACGCGAATTCATATCCGAAAATCGTATTAATATATATTTTGCAATTAACAATGTATTATAATTACTTAAAATTTCCAAAAAAATCTCTTTCAAATTCTCAAGTTTGCTTACATTGTCTTCAAATTCAATTACACACTTTTATCTTAATAACTTTTATTGAATTAAAACAGCTTGGATTTCAGCTGTTTTGGAAGCTATGGATTTAATTAGTGTTCAATTTGCAAGCACTGCGTTCTATTGTTCCTATTAATATAGATTCTATTTCCTATTATTCGTCATTCAAGATCTATTACCAGAAAATATATTTATTTTCTATTCCCTTGGTATTTCGAGGTTATTTCGAATTCACTAAAAAAAAAGCAGATTAATTCAGTGTAAACATATTCAATGACCTTTAAACAATTCACGGCCGCAAGAAATTTGGTTCGCTAACTATGTTCAACACCAGATGCTAGTAAATTTCGAACGTGTCCTATAAATAAAGTTCGCAGTAACGATGCTAAACTTTACGTTACTAAAACGACAAAATAGCATTCTTTTTCTAAATCTATTAATAAACAATGACAATTTTGTTTTCAATTATTGTAGAGGAAGAGCAATATTATTATATCGATTGTGGAATATACTCAACAAACATTATGTATATTTTCGTAGTTTCTGGTAACGTAATTCGAATATTATTGAAACACTGGTGTTTCTTTTCACTTTAAAGCATCGTCGAGTTTAACGTCCTTGTATTTATGATCTACATTTCGTTGATCTGCAGTATTAATATCAGGATTATTCTCGCACACAAAGGAAAGACCCTCGATACGTTGGTCCCGTTTGACATCAAACCCTCGGAATCTTTACAATGCTCCCCTCCTTTAGAGTACACCCCTGAGAGTACATAAACAGGAAAACAGGAAAACATTATCCCTAGCTCAGCTGGTTCGTCACGTACGATCGTCCTGAAAACGTATCCATAAAAGCTTCTTCTTAAAGCATACTACTCTGATCTCGAATCTTTAGTATTTTTACTCTAGATCATCGACTCAAACATTTATCATTTTCCCTATCTATTACACCATCTATTCAAACGAAACTCGAGAAGGGATGTCCAGGCTTCTGATGAATAATTATTTCAATACTCGGTGGCTTGGTCTTCGTAGCAACATGCGATGAAAACATGAAACAATAATACCAGCACAGAAGCCACTCTGGACATTTTACAGGCCTGGGAGTCATAAACTTTTTACCACCTCCACCACTGGCATCTTTGCACCCGGCAATAAAATGTTTGCAAGAGTCATCCTCCGGGCTAGAACCACCGTGCAAAAACCTCAATATTCTTAGAAAAGGAAAAACATAGCTTTCCTATTATAAACTTACTGTTTGGCATGCGGGTGCAATTTGAAACAGTGGAATACCATGGTGTGAGCATGTTTGAGTCTCTTTGTTCAATGTTCGTCTTCAGGTTTGGGTGATGTTAAATAAAATGTAGTAGGAATCTTTCTTTTTTTCAAGTTCTCGAAAAATGAAATCATATTTTGCTTCTGTGAGTCGTCGTTTCTAAAACTTTTTATAATAAATTTTTAACCCAAGTATTCATGTAAACATTTTCGACGAAAATACATATAACTAAGGAAAGTCCACCAACGTTAAAAAGAAGCTGATAAACAACCCTGGCATGGACACGGGATGAGGTCAACAAGTGTCGGAGAAACTGAAAATAAGTCTTAAACTTGAGGAATACAGGAATATAGAATTTCAGCGCTGTGAGCGACTGCTTATGAAGCGACTGCTTATGCAAGCGAAAGACTTCTCCAATAGAATGGATAAGTATTCCCGTGGATGTTTCGCTATCGCACGACATTTTTATCGCGAAGCTGGTCGAGTACCACTCTGACTGTTTTATCGAGTCGAGGAAGCCGTCGGACAAGTATGCGCAGCCTCATATAGGCTCACACTCTTTATTGCATCAACTGTCCTATGACGGAAAGTCGAGAGTTTGCGCCTGGCCTAACACTTTGACGAGTCGAGTAAAATCGTGATACAGATTGGTACAGTGGTACCAATGAGACGTGTATTTGTTTCCTTTACAGTGTTGCAGGCTTTATTAATGAATCTATCCACATAAAAGTGTCTGTGTATTGAAATAAGGGTTTTTTAGTTGTGCAAACATTTACTTTTTTTTATAATTCATCCTATAAGCCCATGTGTAGAATATGAGATGGAGTTTTAAATATAAAATTGAAAATTTCAATCAGAAATTAATTCTCTGTACGTGATATGATTGACTGATGGTCATAATTATTTATCAGTCCAATTTCACAATTTCAGTGTTTATCCCCGTTCGAATTATCCTCGTCGTGTTCTCTTCAGCAAAGATACCGAGACTTCGTCGCCTGTACGACAGGATATATAAAATTAAGTGTCTCGGGACTCGAAACCGTACATTTTACGTTCTTCCGCGCGTATATTCTCCTCCATCGAGCAGCTCGGGACACTTGCTCGCAAACGGATCGGGCAGAAGACGCCGTGACACGCGAGGACAGCTTTACGCTTCAGGAACGATGCTGACTCGATAGGCCTGGCGTGTTCAGTACATATCGTAAAAAAAACGGACGTAAAAAAGCAAGCAGAGACTCCCGTGGAATTTCCAATTTTCCCTTATCGTTATTTCGCTTGTTCTGGGAAGACCGTCGGTTGACCGCCCTTGTCGAGCTGCCATTTTGCCATTACGATCGTTATGCTGCCAGCAAAAAGTGTGTCAACCGAAAACAAGTTCAAGGAAGTAATGCATTTTTTTAAACTACTTACCGGTTAGCAATTCTTCTTGTTCTTCATATCCTTCGTTCTGAACTTGCAACTCTTCTTTTCTTGCCTGTATGAAGCAGCACGGTATCATTAAAACTTAGCATGATATCGATAATCTAGGTCACATGGGCGGTAAAACAGAGTACATTGTCGTTAATACAGAGCATATCGTTGGTAAAACAGTGCGAACTGCGGTCAAAACAGAGTGTGATATTGATAAAACAGCGAACACAGACGGTAAAAGGAAGCATTCTGTTTTAACTACAGTGGACTCTGTTTTACCCATATCTTCTTGTTTCCCTGTATCATTTAAGTTCCAAAAACCAATCTGTACGAACTCTCCTTACTTCTACGAAACTAAACGTCGTATGAATGAACTGTAACTACAAAAAAGTTCCGTCTTATCATTCCCCATAAGCTGATATTTTCTTTTAAAATTCACACTTCTACGCCTCTTAAAATTTCCAGCAAAAACCGTCCCGCGGTGAAACGGCCAAGCAACAACAATATAAAAAAAAAACTCTCGTTTTCGACACAAAAGGAATATCCCGTCGATCTTGCACGCGGCGTATCGTCCAGGCGCGGATGCAGAAGGCGCACACGCAGCACCGTGTATACATGACCCTAACACGAGCGTTGCGCGGGGGTAAACCCCCGACATCGCGGTACATTCTTCGTGTACACGCATCGAGCAGGTTCATAATCACCTGGCCGCGCACATACATATCGAGCGACGCGAGTTAGGCCGTTTCTCTCTGGTTTATAACCAGTTTCGTGTAACCACCAGGGGCGGTGTAAGCGTGGTTGGTGCGCCTGGCTGCGGTAGACTGTCCGACGGTGGATCCACGGTGCTTTCACGCTTTGGCGAGGTACCCGAGTCGTTCTTAGAGGCTGGAATATATTATGTACACTGTATATCGTCGGCACAATGCCTTCTGTGCCCGGGTATAATGCACGTACGGCGATACAATCGGAAAGCCTCGGCGCGCTACATTCAGTGTCATACGTACAGTATATCGTTGATATAACGCGATCCTCCTCGGTGGGTCGGTGCACGCTCGGCTAGCGTGAGCGGGTGAGCACCAACGAGCGAGCGTCGGTGTTTTTTCGCGAACGCCGAATAACGAGCCGGTCGTGTATTTTAGAAGCGTCGGCTTCACACCACCGGCGAGTTGGTACGCAACGCAACACCTTTGCTCTCGGTGGATTCTCCGGGGCCGCACGAAGCGACCGTTGATCTATACAACTGGCTATTTCGAGAGGCTACATTTTCCCGCAAAATGTGCGCAACGTGTGTCTAGTAATGCCCGCGAGGGGACCGTTAAATATTCTGAAATAGAACGAATCGGTGGAATAATGCAGTCGGTGTCCGTTCTTCGAGGGAACGTTCTCGTTTCAGAGCGGTTAACGATATATCGGTGCTTTGTATGTCGATAGGGGGATGGTTGATTTTTGTTGGTCGAGGGTGAAGATTCGGTCGAGGGTTGACGGGTTACCCTGTCAGAAGTCGATCGGATTCATTACCATATTCGATACGTTACCGTTCATTGTTACATCTCGAGGAATACACTTGAGAATTTCATTGGTACGTTTATGGCTGATGCATTAGGAGAGGTTATTTTTGAGGATCGAATATTGGCTTCTGTTCGTAGAGGTTTAAAATAATATTTACACTTACGAACGTTGCAATAATATAATTTATTTAACATACTAATAATAGTGACATTATTATTCATGCCATTTATGCTACTGAAGAATTTGTCTAAATTATATAACAGGTTTGATGCTTCCCATTAAATGTTTCATTACAAGTAAATTCATTAAACTTTACACACGTGCACGCATATTTGTAATAATATATTTTTAACGGGTAATAAACCGAGTAAGATGTCAAAAGATCAAACGAGGGCCATAACACTCTCAGCAACAATTTTATTATCAAATTCCCAGTACCTGTTGATCAGCCCTCGTGCAAAACGCTTTCAACGCTGGTCGCGTGCACGTTCGGCTCGTTCAGCGACGTGTACCGCGGATGGATAATTTCTATCGGTCTTACAGCGGCTCGCGTAATCGTTATTGGATCATAAACGTGCACCGGCGAAAGGAATATGCATGGCGTTCCTGGACTGTTCGGTTAAACTTTACCAGTGTACTCTACTAATCACTTTGATGAAAGGTTGTCGTGCAAATGTAAGTCTGCGAATATGTCGCTCTAGCTGACGGACATTGAAAATTGCACGTTGGTGGACACGTTCCAGCATTCGAAGGAACTGTTAATCTGAATTTTATTTGACGTTTCTGGGATACCGTGACTGGACGTGAACAATAATGCTTAGACAGGGAAGAAACGAGGGTAATAAATTAGCAAACGATGTATTTAAGTGTCTCTACTTCGAATACTTTCCGTAAGGTGCACTTTAACCTTTTAGACTCTAGTGGTTTTATAGTAGAAACACCGTTTTATGATTTTTTTCTTCAAATTTGACCTTCCAGGAGATACACCTTGGCATTTTACGAGAGTGAATGTAGAAGGTTTCCTAATGATAGTAATGTTTAGACGTGTACACTAAAATGTATCTTGAAAGGCAGTGATACACTGAAAGAAAATGTAGAAAAATATCGATTCCTTGCCGGAACAACTCGTGCCACAAGTGGATTCATGAGCCCTTTGTTAGACCCCACACGGAAATTACATGCTCCAGCTGTAATCATTAATGCTGGGAATGGAGGAGGAGAGAAAAGGCAAGAGTTCGCGAGTTTCGATTGGTACCTATTTGTTAAACCCATCGGTCTGTGTTAACAGAACCTTTCTGAGAAGAGGACACTTGGATGTTGAATGCATTCCTATTTGCAGGAATCTCGTATTAGCGAATAACTTTCGGGGGCGTCGCCACAACACAGAGCGTTCCTAAACTGTTTGACGAAAGTTTCCTAGGGTTCTCTACTAATTGATGGGTCCGGTCCGGAAGCCACTTATCTCCATATTACTATGACAATCGGTTAAGTGCGTAAGAATACCTCATTAAATCTTGTAATACACAAAATCAGTCTAAAAATATATAGTATAGTTAGTAAGTTATGCATTGACAATAAAAGGTCATCCAGAAGAGGCTCCAAGATTTGTTTTTTTTAATAACAAAATATGCCTGTCAGGGTAGTCATGGTGGACACTTTAATGAGATCATCTTTCATGTTTGATTGTAATCATGAGTAGGTACTTTTATTTTAAATAAAGGAATTGGAAATATATTCCATACCATTTCTGGTTCATTAAACAACAGAATCGTGTCAATAATAAAAGAAGGCGTCATTTTCAAAATTTTAAAAGAGATCAATTTACTTCCACGAACCAAGTTGATCGCGATTTAGTCGTCGACTAATTTCTTTGCAAATTGTCGTCACCTATTGATGATTGAGTCATCCTGATTTCTCTTCAATCTCGTCCCCTTGTGTATTTCCAACTAATTAAATAATAAATCCTAGTGATCCTTAACTGGCAAAAATCAACAATTTTTATCATCAAACATACTCCAACAACGTCACACCTAGTAACATACATCCTGCCCTTCCAATATATATGAAGCTATCAATGATTAGGTGTCGAACCAGCGGAAATTTCATTTAAACGACCCCGTAGCGTTAACCAAAATTTACGTTCGAGCTGTCCCAACCCTGCTCCCAACGGCGTGGCGCATTAGATCTCCTTGAAGCTTCAGCCTCGAATAATTTATAGACCGCGCGCTGGAACATAGTCCTCGGGAGCCGCCATTGGCTCCGCGAGCGGGCCACGAAACGTATTGTTCCAGGATCGTGTTGTCGGCCGTGTACGTACATTTATTTAAATATATCGGTTACGTCGCGTACGAGGACCTTACAGAAACGTGCCAACGTAGAACGTCACAGGAAGCAGGTCGTTAATCTGCGGCTACGATCTCATTTCCACTAATTGGCTGATAGGGACGCCCGATACGGACGATACCGGGGTACGTACGCGGACACACGTGCAACCACAAAGACCCACGTCGGGGGAAAGGCTGCGGAATAAAAAAAAAAAAGAAAGCAAGACCGCACTTACGTACGCGCGCGTGCTGCACGAGATTTTCAGGGGGCTAAAGAGCTCGTTCATTCGTTGATTCTGTGGGTGGCAAGAGATTCATCGGTTTTGGGAGCATGGTAATCGATTTGAGAGATGACAGGACCTGAAAAGGTAAAAAGTGACTGATTCAGGGGATTTTTCTATGATGAAATTGGAGTAAAGTAGGTTTATGGTTTCTAGTGGATGGTTGAGGGAGATGTTGGCGTGGGATTAGGTGTTTCGTCGGTAATATTGAGTATGCTGTCACTAAAACAGAGGATATTGTCGATAAAAGAGAGAAGATTGTTGTTAAAACAGTGTACATTACTGTTAAACCAAACCTAGCTGTTGGTAAAGTAGATAACACTGTTGATAAGTCAAAGCGTCCTGTTTTAACGACAGTGGAGTCTGTTTTACCCATAAAATATCTTCTCGTTTACCTGTACCTGCCTCATTTAAGTTCCAAAAACCCAGCTGTACCCTTCGAACTCTCTTTACTTCTACGAAAAGTGTCTCCTAAATAAATTAAAGATACATGTTGCGAATACATATAAAAATATATGAGCCTTCTATTTATCACAACAATCACTCTCTTTACTCTTACTCATTTCAACAAATATTTATTACTGCGCGTGCGTAGCCATACACGGTAATACGTGCAATAGTCATAAAGACAGGGGAGAGGCTGATTAAAAAAAAGAAAAAAAAAAAAATGCGAGAGTGCACTCGCGTACGCGCGTGCTGCACGAGATTTTCAGAGGGTTAAAGAGCCCTCTTCTCGAGCTCGTCTCCCGACGTGCTCGGCCCTTGATCGTCGACTTCTTCAGCCCTCGCTATGCCTATCGCCCCGTTTCCTTTTTTCTCCCCTCTTGCCTTCGTACGACGACGCCTTCCGTCCGTGAATTTCTGCGTTTTCCCCTCTCGCGATGTTGCTCAAGCATGGAGCAACGACATACGAGAGAATTACACGCGGAGGAAATACGCGGGGGGAACGATACGTTGAGAGGGCAAGGGAGAACGATGGAGGGAGTGGTTAACATGGAGTTAATCCAAACAATAGGTGTGTGTAATCCAGCCCAGGATACATAGATGTACAAATACACGTTCATCTTCGAAGGGGAGGAGTGGAACTAAAGTTTCACGTACTCGCATTGGAAATATTTAATAATAATTTGAAATGTTTTAAACAATTTGTTGTTTCATTTTGGTATATTTTCTGTAAATTCATAACATAACTATGACTTTTTCTGTTAATTTCTAAAGCTGAAAGGTTGGTGAATTATTTTGAAATTGTTTTAGATTTTTCACGAATGCTTATAGGCTACTCGTTATGCATCTGTGTTTATTTTGAACTCTTTCGATTTGAGAGTTATACCAATATCGATGTAATTTTGAAAAACACAATTATTCTAAATGATCATAAAATGAAATGATATATTCTACGCCATAATATTTCAAGTACTATTATTTAAAAAGTGATCACAGCTATGAAAATAATTATGAAATAAAATTACGTTAGTGCAGACTTTTGCTCAACCCCCGTTTCTGTTTCATATTATTCGTTCTGCTATTTCGTGTGTCGATTAAAACGAATCTGGACTTTCTAAACGGAGTGTCTTTCATCCAGAAAATCGCATTTACGTGACAACTGTATGCATCGTCAGCGGTGAAAGGTTACGCGGATACGCGTTGGCACGCCAAGGTTTAAGCTTTCAGCTAACCACCCGCGATTTCGCTTTTACGACTAGCATCGTCGTCGATAAGAGCCATGATAAAACAGCGGACCTCCCGTTGTACTCTCATATTTCGTTCCTCGGACTATTTAGATCCAAACCTTCTCGGTATTCTTTTGGGATTGGTCCCTCGACGTGCACGGACTGACGCGACGAGTTCAAACTCTTACGCGCGTCCACTTTTCTTCCATTATCTTCATTTCCCTGACGCTGGTCCCTCCCTTCCGCGGTTGCCAAGATACTCGCGTCTCTGGGGTGTTTTTTATTACCTTTTAAGCGCGTCGTTCTCCTTTCCACCGACGCTCATAAGGGGATGGTCTCATTGGCGAGCTGTACGAGGAAAAGGAAAGGTGTTCTTTGGGAATTTCTTGCGAGGGAGGCACGCACGTGAATAATTTCAGATTTCTGTGTGTTATTGTGGAGCACATTTCCTGTATGAACATATTACGGATCTTGAAACGTGTATCCAATCATGAGTTATGGATTAAACAACATCGTACTGATCTCCAAAAAAGAAACCATTTAATATAAAGGATTGCCAAATCTTGAAGACTGTCAACATTCATATTTTCCAATATAAAAAATGTTGTAATAAAAAATGAATGCTCTACAACCCCATACTAAATTCTAACATTATTCGTCCTTATTCTTCTCTCGCAGAAAATTCTCAAAGACCCCAACATCTTCTACCACTTGTCACTGAGAATACTCCTTTAAATCCCAACGATCCTCCTAGACTCGTGCTGTAAAAGCCCACGGAAAGACAGACGAAGAAACTTAGGGAGGAAAGTGAAAAGGGGGTAGCCACGGGGCTGGAGATGGAACTTAGGGTGACTCTCTGGGCTCCCCGTAACGAGACCGTCCTTAAAGGATAATAAGCTCGCGCGACGTTAATAGCTCCCGCATACGGACTCTGGTGAAGGGAGACGTGTCTAGAGAGAAGTGGATTTTGAATGTCCCTCTAGTGGATTTTGAAGAACGTCGCTAGGAACGGTAGTGAGGTCTGAAGGGGATTTGCCGTTTAAATACTGGCCCGAGGTCGAGTGGCAACGCATAGTCTGAAAAGGGCTGGCTGGCTAAAATTGGTAGCTGGAGCGTTCGAATGCCCATTATTAGTCTAATCGACGTTCACTTGGGGTGTGTAGTAGCCAAGTCGAAATACTTTGCTTTCATCATCTTCAAATTCTTGCGACTCGTTGGAATGATGTGTTCTGGAATTTGATTTGTGAGGGTTGGAGAAATTATAGTCGTATTGTGGATCAAGTGGACCAGTTGGTAGATGAATGAAAGGAATTGAAGTGCACGTAGGAGAATATTTAATGGACAGTTTCGTCAATATCTTTGGATAGTGTGCAATTGGTTTGACGAATCTTTCATTTAAGTGGTCATAATGATAAATTTTCAAACATTAAAGGGAATCTTCAGGACCTGCAATGTTGTTCTGAACGAATAAAAATTGTGTTAGATACATCAGTACTTGGGAAAAAATGTCTCTATTAATCTGTAATATAAAGATACTTGAATCTGGACGAAGTTTTCATTGTACAAATTTAGAGACACGTCATATATTTATTGCGAATTCCATCAGTTCATCTTATTTAATCATTACAGAGTTGCATCACACGATACAAAAACTCAAGGCCTACAAGAAAAGTACTTTAACTAACAAGTCTACCAGTCGTTCGCAATGCCATCCCTTCCTTCCTTCCTTCTATCGCCATAATAGTATTCATAAATTACGCACGACCAGCGATCCTTAAAAAACGTCGATCTAGAACATACACTTTCCTAATCAAGACGAAGTATCCCAACAAAAAATTGCTCGCGCCGGGTCCATATACGACACACGTAGCAGAAGAAGGGTTAATTTACCGCGACTTCTGTTCCATTCGCGATCTCGTCGAACGCCGCACATTCCTTGGACAACGCGGAAGAACGCGCGTCTCGCATTTTTTTCTCACAGCCGGGCTCCGCGGTAGCCTGATTTCTCGACGCGCTGATCGAGCAGCGTTCTCGTTCACATGCTGCCGGTTTTCTCCGTCTTTTTGTTCGCCGGTTGCGAAAGGTTAATCGCGACCGTCTCGCGGGCGACTGTTAATCACACCGTGGCTAATCGACCCGCAAGGATGTCTGCCTGTGTCGTTAGAAACGGCTGCTGTTGCAATTCGTCGTCTAAGGAGAGCCGTGGGGACACGTTGATTCTTGGAAAGTCGGAGGATATCCTGTGGCCATTCTGGACAGGATTTTTTAGAGGGGATGTGGACTTGACGATTGATCGGCGAGTTTGACGTGATTGACGATTTGTTTAGAGTTTAATTGAGAGTGATAGTCGCGCGGTAGCATAGTGCTATCATCTAATACGTTGATTTCCACGCCATTCGTATACGATTAATAGGATTTTTCACTTGGGAATTAAATTAAATTTAGTCTGGGGGTTAGGTGTTGGAGAAACTAAGTCTGGAGAGGATTGCGAGTTTGGAGACGTTACAAAAATAAGTGTTATCTTTTTTATTAAATTATTATTATTATTCATCTTCGTTACGCACATATAAATTGTGATTATGTATGTGGCCTGTACTGAATTGGTTTCTGAAGTAAGCAGGAATTTGACTCGTCCTTCATTGATCGTTCTACGAGCAGTGATGGAGACTAACCTAGCGACGTGTACATTAATGCTGATCGGTATCAATTCCCAAGTTGTCGGTAAGTGAGTTATCGTCGGTCTGATAAGATCGATTTGCGCTGTTCCACGCTTCGCGGTACTTGCTGTTCGTTTCTGCGACCAACCTGTTGACGAGCAAGACGAGACAGGCTCTACAAGTCTCTGCTCACATTTTGTAGATCTCTAGTAGTTTTAAATTTCTTGCTCAGGATTTCAAAATAAGTAGACAAAAATTTTGCAAGTTCTTTAATAATACAAGCAAGTCTTCTGTATTGTTAAAAAACCAAAGAAACTTATACCTACATTCAGTCCCATAAGTATTCGTACCTTCTATGGCTGTTGAAGAAAGTCTAAATTAAATGATAAGTTTAATCTTTCCAAATAAATGTTTCATTATAAAAAATTTACTCACAAGCGAAAAAAACTTACACTTACGTATTATCAATTACATTTACATCAAGAGTTTATTTAAAAAATATTGGCTCGTATCTTCGATAGGCTTCAAAGAATTTGATGGATGGAATTTCGAAGAATAGCATCCGAAGCCAAAAGAAGAACGAGTCTGTTAGTTTTGGCTGCTTCACAAACTCGTCGAGTTTCATCAACATCAACGTCAACGTTGACGTTTCCCGTCAGTGTTCTGATCTACTCGTTCGCTACAATTTCCCGGGATTGTTCGCAATCTTAGACGCGAAACCGCCTTGGCGTGTAAGAATCTTCCATTTCGAGGCTAGGCGAGGAGGGAAAGTTGTTCAAAGAGCACGGGACAATTTCCGTGACCCGGGACACTTACGTACAATTCTAATCTGCAGCTGAAGCAAATTGGTTTACTGAAAAATCTAATTACGTCCGTCTACGGGTGTCCTTTGCCGTGATGTAATCGAGTTACTCCGCTAACACGAATCTTAACAAACACGTTCCAGAAACCTTTGCCGCGAGCCCTCGTGCCACGGAATTTTCACCGATTCGCGTTCCCCGGATAGAAAATTTGCAAACGCAAACCTTGGACGCGTTGGCGTGTTACTAGGGTCAGGGAATTTGAGTTTTCCCCTAACAGAAGGAAAATCCGCTGGAATCGCTTCGATCGAACTAAACTCCCACTTGAAACGGAACTTTAACCGCATCGAGCAATCTAAATCTAAACTTTGGCTGGGAACTTCCGAGGGAATTAGTTTCATCAAATTTGACTCGTGGTCTCTTATCGAATCAATGGAGCTTCCAAATAGATAGTTTGTTGGATTTCCGATGTCCTCTTAGGGGGTTTAGTGCAGAGGTTTGGATTTAGATCTGAAGGATCTAAAGGAGATTGATCCAAATTCGAACTTTGACTGAAACTTCAATCAAATTAGATTCTTCAGATTTGACACCTCGTAACATTTGAGTCAGTGATAAATTTATTTATCTGTAATAACCTCCAGATTTAACTGATTGACTAAATACTGAATTTACAATAATAAATCTAAAATTTCCTAATTTCTCTAACGACTATCTTTTCTAATTCAATAAAATAGTTCTTATAGTGTACCAGTCTTCTCATAAGTAACATTAAACCTGATTCTTTCGTAATTAGGCTAATCTTTGATACTAAAGAACATCCAAAAAGGAACCAAAACGCTCCACGTAATAAAGTTCACTATTCACTCCGATTTCCATTATTGCTTTTCACAATCGAAATACAAAATGAAGAGGTTACGTCACCAAGAGCATTCATTTTTAAAACAGGTCTCTTTATTACCCCACTTGCCCATTGGGCGCAATCAGAAAGATAATTCGCCATAAAGGGAAATAAACAGGACAGACGAGTGGGATAATTCATTCAATCACCGACGCGTGCAATTTACGCTTAGCGCGAATTAATCACTTCTAAATGGCTCGTTAGTTATGCAGAAACTGATCGATGCTCGAAAGTATCGTCAAGTGTGCGTCGGAAGCTCGATGTTACCGGAAAACGCTCCGCTTTCCCTTTCCACGAGGCGTTAATTCGACGTGAAATTATGCGCCTCGTTTCAATCGTAAATCAATTTTAATCGCGATGAATAAAGTTTATATTACTCGGTGGAAACACCCGTTTAATTGCTTTAATTGCTAGCTGTCCAACTTATTACGAGTTCAGTTGTTTTCTTTGCCGAAGGGGCGTGCGGCCGCAGCGAGGCGCGATGATTACATTCGAAAAATAACTATCAATTTACTCTGGGGTTGTTGTTGCGCCGTCCTAACCGTCGCCATGAATCTCCATTAGTTCCAAATACTGGCTGTTAATTAATAGTTTCGCCGTACAAAGTGTACCGCGTCGAGACACCGATCAACGCGAAGTTTTCCCCTCTTACAAACAGCGAAACTATTAGTCACACGTAACGTGGCCGCGGTGATAATTATGACAAATGCCGGTACGAGTGTAACTGTAAAGCGTATTTAGAAGAAAAGGTTTCGCGGCAACAAGACGACCGCGATCGCTAATGCCGACCGCGAAGTACGAGCATCGATCTTTCCCATCGCTCCAAGTGACTCAAAGATGATGGATCACCCCCGTGGCCGGCAAGAGGACCGCGACCTTAGTTGATTCTATGCACTCGTTCGACTATGAAAATGCCACTTTTGTGGGAGGGAATATTCGTTTGCAGACGTGTTTACATCTCAAGCATCTCTCATTTAGATTTATTAGTTCCAGTAAGTGTTTCGTAACAGCAGTGCCATTCTCATTGTAATCTGTCTTTACATTTCTCTGTAATTCTTTATGTTTTATTACATTTCTTTATATTTTTCTGATATTTCTTTATAATTCTTTATAGTAGATTATATTTGATCGTATCTTTCTAGAATTATTTATATTTCATTCGAACTGTTCCAATTTCTAATATATTCGAAGCTGTCCTAGGATCACCCACCAAAAATGTCTAAAAACTTTTAAACTAACCCGCTAGAATTCTGGTTGAAATTTTCGATCACGTAAACAAACGAAAGAACTTGGATACGTTCTCGCAGAGCGGTAGATCCAGCTAAGTGTTAAACTTGTTTCGAGGCGAGGTGTCGCGTCGCTGTCGATAGTCCCGTGACGCGAGGCATCTCGTGCCGGACGGTTGCGTTTCAATTTGCCGATTTCCAAAGCTCCCTGGATCGAGCCGGTTGATCTCTGGAAAATTGGATACGTGATGGGACTTCCTGGGATTCACCGAGAAGTTTACGAGCGATCCTTGAATCTTTACTGCTGGCTACGAGGAGTTCGCCCTGCAGCCTGAACGCCATTCTTCTTCTTTCTTAGGTAGAATAGACGAGAATGGTCGAGGGAGTGTAATCAGTCGGGCAGCATTCCTCGATCTCTCGTACGGAAGAGATTACCGTTGGCGCTTGTGCGAGAAACGCTTCGGCGGATGGTGGGAAATAATGATCGCTGAAGCTCTGTTATTTATTCAGAGACTGTTGCGCGAACACTGACATCGCCAGTTAATATTGCGTAGGAAATATTAATATCGATAGATTGAACAAAAATATTTTATTCGCTGCGATGGAATCGATAGGAGGGGGATCGTGCATGAATTTGTAGAATAAATCATTTGGGTGCGAGAATTAATACAATTAAATAAAAACCTTTATAGAAGTAGCAATATATTATGTGACTTTTACTGTATCAATTGTGCGGTTAATAATCATATGCAAGTAGATGAATTCAAACATTTATACGAGTAGGAATTTATTATGCGAGTCCTACTGCATAAAAAGTGCAGTTAATCGTATGCAAGTATTTAAACAGATAACTTCAAACGTTTATACAAGAATAAAATTATTATTTGACTTTTACTGTGGAATACTGTAGATCAGGGTTTGTCAGGGAAGATTACTCTCTTCTCAAAGGATAAATCTGGCACGTAGTTTATTATTATAACCCACGCGAGGCTAGAATGATATTTAATTGAGTTTCACGTCGAAATCGCGAAATTGCTGTTTCAATATGCAAACAGTAGTATTTGCGTGATGTAATCATAATTAATTTCGATATTTTGCGATACAAATCCGTACTAAATGTCATTTACGAAGACGAGATATTTATGTAAAATCTCATTATATGCTTCATTAGACTTGCATGTAATGTTTAAAGGCAACAATTTGTAACTAATCATACTATTTGACAACTAGTTTTATTTGCCTTATAAACATAGCGAAGAAGTTTAGGGAGATTAATAAAATTTAGATTTAATATCCAAACGTTCGACCAAGTACCGTCTCATTTTCCTAGTCAGACTAGACAGTAGAATGAGACAGTGCCTGGCCAGACAAGTAGAATATTTGCTATTCAGCCATGATCCTCGTATAACAGCTAGTCCTGGGAGCAGTTAAAAGCATGTAAAATGGCATATACAAGTAATGGTCGTGATTTTTTTTGTGTCCTTGTCTAACCACACATAAGTATATACTATTCCTTGGTCTGACCACGTACGATTCTGTACTACTAATATGTAACTCATGAAGCGCTGTGCTATTTTTAAAATATGAATACACTATTTGATTCTAATCGTATTTTTTATTTTTGTTGCAGGTACGTACACGCCAATCTGTATAATATCAATCATTTTTGCTGTCTAACATCGGGTAAGTCCTATCATTATTGTAAACAGAAAGCGACGGTTACTTAGCAACGTGCAAAATTAGGGAACGAGGGAGAAAGTAATAGTGTTAAGATTGGTTGTCTTCTTTATTGTCCAAATCTTGATAGTTGCAGGCCTTTTTGATCGTTTTCGCTTTAATAATTGAAGTTGCTATGCATATGCGAGACTCGTATTCTTTCACGAAAAGAAAAATTGAAAGAAAGGAAACATTATTTAATACACAAATACACACACCCCAACGACATATGGACAGACGTAACTGACTTGCGACCTCTCTGTGCATAAAACACCCTGAATAAGCCCACAGATATGTTATATAATTGTGTACAACAAATAATCCTCCCTAAGGAAACCCAAGATTTCGCAAAAGTCAGCAAAGACAAATCCTGACGAGTCACTTCGTATCTTCCTACAAAGGTTAACGAGCTCATCGTGACCCAAGACTAACCTCGAAAATATGTTTCGCTAACGAATGGAAATCCAGAATGGCAATTATCCCAGCGCTCCTCTTCCATCGACGTAGCAAAGCGACGAAGAGACCCAACAAGCCGCGAGGAAGCGGAAGAAAACAAATTTCCGTCAAATACGAATCCACAAACGGTCTTTCGGCCCCCTTATTCTCCCATCGGAATTGTTCGTTAGCTGCAATTTTGCGCAATTCCGAAGACGCGTCCTCGCAAAGACAAAGGAGACACTCGGGCAACGTATTTACGCCCAGAAAGCATATTGTTCAATCCGCGACCGAATTTCGCTCCGACGTCCTCTCGAATCGTCGCTCAATCGGTCTTTTCACCATGGAAACGCTGGGTGTGCAATTTCAAACTAATCCCGTCGCATTTTCGAAACGCTCATTCCGTCTAATCAGATTAGCTCGGTTTACGGGGGGCCTCGGTGCGCGACGTTCTCTTTCGGTAGCGTTTCACCGAGTTAGATGGACTGGTTACACGTCGAATACGCGAGAGTGAAGTTGAACGATTGTTATTAATTGCCTGTCGTCGTCTACCTGTTTCTTCTTACAATTAACGCTCGGAGGACTCTCTGCGACCGCGAATTTGGGTGTAAGCGGGTCAGACGAGGCGGAACGTCCTTAATGACCGAGCACTCGCGTTCGCTTGGGTTAGGTTGGGTCATAGGTGGACAGGATAGCCTCCTAGAAATCTAAATGATGATGAATTTATCGTGTCACGTGGTGGAGCAGTGATAGTAACGTTCATTAACGCGTTAGGGGGGCGATTAGAAACTTTTTCATTGATGTGTTGGTTCTTCTTCGATTTTAGTTTGGAAGTGTATGCTTTAAAGTGGTACTTTTTTTATTATACATAGTTTCTTACAGCCACGTCTGGGAGTTTGATAACCCTTGAATGATTAACCCTTTTGCTTGGTGGTGGTTCAGGAGAAAATGTGTCAGAACTGTTAAGACTAAACAAAGTAAAGATATTTGAAGCCATAGTAAAATTTCTGAATGATATTAACACAAATATTTAAATTTAACCATTTTTAATATCTATCATATATTGTTTTAACAATTTATGTTAAAATCATTTCACGTTACCCATAAGAAGTTCGTCAAATACGTTTTTAAAATCATCTGGAGTTGCTAGTTAGCCCCATTGAAAATGTGACGAAGCAAAAAGGTTAAACGTGTCCCCATCGAGTGTCGAATAATTTGGGAAAGTATCAACGCGCCGGAATCTCTGGACGCACGTATTCGGGTCATCCGGTTGGCCGTTTTCTCGCTTCGACTAGACCCCGAAGCCGAAGCACCCGAAGGGTTCTGGGAGGTGTATCAGCGGTATCTTTCGCTTCCTGTGCACTCCTCCTCTGCCCCTCTTGCCCCGTTCGCTTCCTATCTCCGCTCCGTTCCTCTCCCTTTACTCACGGGTGTTCGCCGTTTCCCCGTCTCGTTCTATCGTTCCACGTGAGATTTATTCGCGACCCTGCCGAGCGGATATCTACGAGCAAAGGAAGTCCTTTATTTCTGCGGCACGACGAGTCGTGCGCACGTGAATGCGGCTTTAACGTCCCTGCGGGACGCGTTCGTGTTCCCAGGGAACACCGTCGCCCTACGACCGTTTCGGTTTTCTTTCATTCGTCGCTGGCCCTCCTCGATTTTCCTATCCCCGTGAATTAAATATGCTCGTTTTAATTGATACTCCCTCCCTCCACCGTCTTTCCCATCGCGCGAGATACTCGGAAAATTTCGCTTAATAGGGTCGTAATTAAAGCCTCCCCCGACTCTCCGAATTCTGTTTTTGAATTCAACGCGGTTCCCTCTGGCGCGCGTGCAATAAATGCTCGAACGGGATTGCTCGGGCGAGAATTCGCAGAATGAATTTCTGTGGCGATGGTATGCGAGGTCCGTGGAGGTGGGGGCAAAATACTCGTCTGGGGCAAAAATTTTGATCGAGGAATTAAAGGTACACGAGTTTTGGTTTTTATTTGTTGGGTATTGTCATTTAAATTGCGAGGGGGATTGTTTTAGGTCGAGCAAATTGAGGTTTAAGTAATTGTTCTGTTGCCAAATAGTGTGTGGTAGTTTTATCTACCTTTATTATTGGGGAATATGAATATATATATATGTGCTCGATTTATTGCGAGTATGTTAAATAACTAAATAGTGTGAGACATAGATGAAATATTGACAGATGATGTTTTAGTTTGGGTATGCAACATTTTAAACATTCAGGTTAGAATTTTCGACTATACCCATATACTTTATAAATATGTAAAAGTATTTAAAAGTTCATTATAGAATATTGAACATTTATTTTATGCTATTATTAATGAATACTTAATTGAATATTTTCTAAATAATATGACTATAAGATTTCTCATATATCCAATGGATTGTATTTTCTAAATTAATTTTAGGATATAGAGTCTTATCACTTTCGTCTCGATAGTAGCACGAATAATGCAGCCTACTTTTGTGTAACGCTCTATATTGTTATTGGTCTCAAACATTTCGTTTGACAACGTTTACAACATTTTAATTACGACCATATTGTACTATTATTTATAAAGAATTAATTGAACATTTTCTAGATACTATGATTATCATAGTAATTCGCACATAATCAATGCATTGTATCATTTAAATTAATTATTGGATATTCTTATCACTTTCTTCTCGATAGTACCACGAACAATGCAGCCTACTTTTGTGTAACGATGCAAATTGTCACTGGTCTTGAGCATTTCGTTTGTCAACATTTTCGGACACGCTCTGCAATTCATTCGCCATTGTGCCTGAGCGGGATTGCTACGAATGAAGGAAACGCTTTATTCCTCTGGCACGAGGAGACGTGAAGAGCACGCATGAATGCGAATTTACCTTCCCCTCGCGCTCGTTTGTATCCGTGTACAATGGCGCCTCGGAAGCGTTCTCTTGCGCCTTTAATTACGACTTTGGGGATGATACTCGTCTTCCGTTTTCGGAGCGTCACTTCCCGTCTACTTTAATCCGTTGTAAACTTTTGGACAGCTACTAATTTCATAGTTAATACCGACTTTTCATACTCGCTGGAGCAAAAGGGTGCGCCCGTGTACTGGCTTCTATGGAAAGAGTGCTTTGCATTTAGGAGTGTCTCCTTCGTGACAAAAGGAAAGGAAAAATTGTGTTAAGAAGCGAAATAAAAATTGTCTGTTTGTATAACTGAAACGAGTCAGGCTTTTTTTAGAGTGCATTTTTTAACCCTTACTGCTCCGATGGCGTAATATACAGGTCTATTGTTTCATTACACTGAAAATATATCAAGAAATTTTCACCAAGTAATATATATTTATTTTGTTTTATATTCGTTCTATACGCGAAATAAAACAAAATAATTTTATAAAATTAGGTAGATGATGAAGTCTATTCAAATGTAATGAATTAGAAAAAATTAGAATATTAAAATCAAGAAGACGTTTTCGTTTCCCGGAGCCAACGGAGCACAGGTTACACTATTGAATTTATTATTGCGCGCTGGTACACACGCACACACGGATCGAAATTAATTTTCAGTTTCAGCGTTATCCCGCTGAATTGTTCTTTCTAGCGCGCAGAATGTTGTTACACGCGAAAATGCATATAACAGGTTCGGAACGTGCATGCACAAAACGCGTAATTTATTCAGCGACATTTTGCATTCAGCGTGGAAATAAAACCGTTTTTACTACCGTTACAATAAATTATTTCAAAATGCAATTATCTTATTGGCTTAGGAAGCCCATCCTTTGACATTTGAAATAACAATTCCTGCGAAGGATACAAATTACTACCAGTCCTTTCCTTTTTAATATTCTGTTATTCCTTTCTTAATTCTTGCAAGGATTTGTGGTTCATCTCGGTGGTAAAAGAACTGAAAATTATTTTATGCTTGTAGTCAAATTTGATTTTGCAACCAGAAAGTTTAGGACGCAAATGTAAATACGATAATAAATACTCTTCTGTAAAATCTTTGCAGCTTTTTCTGCAGTTACTTCTTTTTCTCGTTCGACTCGAAAGGAAACAAAAGAAGCGCAGTAATTTCAGAAAAGGAGTTCGCCTAGTTAGACGAAGGGAGACACGTGTATATTTCAGCCGGTGGCAGTAGCGTATCCTGCGGAATTAATGAACTAACTAGCGAGCACAATGGACGGCAGAATGCAGAGTATTTGCTCGCTTATGATGCTAATGTCGCCTCTTTACTTTGCATGACAATTACCTTGCCTAACTCCAACCCCCCCCCCCCCCCCCCCATGGGGGTGCTGTACTGTTCGTTCCGTATCTCGGCCTGCCTACGCCACTATCTTGGCTACCATTTCTCGTCTCGACCCTCGGGCTTCCTCGGTGCATTAAGTTTTACAGTATGTGCGCCACGAGCGAACCTTTTCTTCTTTTAATTGTTCCTGTCGTCTCGATATTGTTCCCAGCGAGAAGCATTATCGGAAAATTCTACGATTGTCCTATTTTTCATATATCGATAGAAAATGGAAGAAGAAGTTAGTTGATCGTGAATAAAACAACAAAATTTTATTCAGGAAATATATTCGATTATTCAGTTGAATGTAGGATAATAAAATTTGACCAAAGAAACTAGTTAATTGTTTCAATAATAATCTTTAAAATTCAAGTATTCAATGGAATAAACGTAGAGAGTAAATCACTGTATGCTGGTTTTATTCGTTACATATTACTCTAATCAAATTTTCTTTATCTTTGCTCTGTGTTATACAGTAGTAAGAAATTTTTGTTCGAATTCACGTCATCGTTATAACATTATTAAAAGATATTATTTTTCTTTGACAATATACTATCTCAAATCTAGAATAATTGACGCCAATAAAGCGAGTATTTTGTTATACAGAATATTCTAAATATTAACTAAAAATATTTTACTAGTCAATACAGTCTAAGAAACAATTGAAGATATTTTATTGTCCATATAGTGTAACTGTATATCCATTAGTGAAAGGAAAATCCAACTCCAAATTGGGAATAGTTAGATGTGATAGCTCAGCGTCCACACCGCGTTGCATAAATTTGTTTGTGGTCAGAATTAACTGGTCCATTTGAAACATTGACGCAAGGGTGGAATTATTCGTCGCTGTTTTCGATAGATATCCCGTGCTGACATTTATACTATTCAAATTCATTTGAATCTATAAACGCAGAGTTTGGCGTGTTCCATCGGCAGGGGAGCAGCACTGCAAACTTAGCATTCCGGTTTTTTAACGATCAGAATTAATTGCAGACGAAGTCCAAACCTAATGAGAGATGAATATGGATGAGATTGATTCTTAAATCTGTTATTCATTTCCGTTTTAATTCATTTGATTTTAAATCGTCAGAGATCACTGAAAATTTCGAATTTATATCGTAAGGGCATTTTTTAATTAATTGGAAGTTTAAAGACGGTTATTATGGATGAGGCTGTAATTCGTTTCCGTTTTAATTGATTTGTTTTCGCATCGTCAGGAATCATTGAAGATTTTTAATTTATATTGTAAGGTCATTTTTGTAATTAATTGGATAAGTACTGACCTGATAGAATCTATTCAAAATGTGTCGCTTCGATGGGAACGTAATCTTCGATCTTCAGACGTTTCTTGCGAACGAGCTGATTTCTGGCTTCCACGGTGAAAAGGTTAACCGAGTGCGTTCCGTTGGAAACGAGAAAAGTCGCGCGATTACCTGTCGCTTGGTCGGAAGAAAAATGTATCCCTTTGCAGTCCACTTCATTTGTTGCGACATGGCTAAGAAATTGTTCAAAGGAAAGTAATATTTGGACTTCTAGGACACGCTGTGTATTCCTATTTATATTATCTGAGATCTGGTATTTGACATATTTTCTTAAATAATACAAATGATTTTCAACTTCTTCAATTCGTATCATCTAAACTAAAATTAAGAATATTTAGTAATTGTATCCATGTCTGTTCCTAAAATTGTTGCAGTCAGAACCTTAATATAACAATTGTTTTTGGAATCTTTCCAAGCCCTAAT